TTGTTTGAGCTAACAATAGGTCAATATTCAGTTCCATGAACACAATGCTATACCAAAAGTAAAAACCTAAAAATCAGAAATCCCACTTAAAAGTCACATGTCTAAGTCATGTTTACCCAAGTAGATAATGTTCAAAATCATATTATGTTAGAATATGTGAAAATGTATTTTGCATTGAATGAATGATACAAGTGTACAGAGGGGTTTATGTAGGAGTTATCATGGAGAGTAAGTAAACCCTATATGCTATGCATGGTCATGAGGGTAGGTGAAGCTGGCTAACCCTAACCTTAACACTGTTTGGGGCTTTTGGAGCCACGCCTGGGCGATGGCGTTGTAGGTGATGGTGTAAGGGTTTGCCAGGACTGCTGGTCTGGGGGCGGTCCACCCCGCGATACACTTGCTGGCCTTCTCCCCTCTCCATCAGGGAGGTGATGATTCAGGCCCAAACAAACATTCCTGAGGCGGCGACCTCGGCCAACTCCGGGCGAGAGCAGGTTTACCTTTGCTGCCATGTCTGCAGAGTTGCAACAAAAAGATCCAGAGAGTATAGGCAGGCTCTAGACCGCCTTGCAGCCATTGAAGAGAGACGAAAATCGCTTCGTGCTCAGTGTGCTCACTTGGAGCATGACATTGCTGCACATCAAGCTGTTGTGATCATTCATTAGGTTTGGAGGATTGGGTTTTGAGGGATTTATTGTGATCTTCTTTGCCTTTGCAATGATTTTGATTGTATCATGAACTCAAATAAGAAATGAACTGATCAAATGTAGTGAACAACATATTTCTAACTGAGGTTTCTTTATTAATAATTTAAAGACTGTATGAGTTTATTTTAATGATCATTGAGTTGACTTGAGCTCAAAAACTAACTTATGCAGAATGCGAGTCTTAATAACAGTTTGAGTTGGGCTCGTTTATTTAACAACGATTTTGTACGGCGTTTGTTTATCTAGTTAAAAAGGGAATTTTACCAGTTTGCCATTCATTAGGCTGCTCTGGCAATTACCGGTTTGCCATCGTCTCTCCATCCAGAGATGTGTGTGTTTGGTGGTGTCTATTTTCATTCTCGAAGTGAAAAACCAGAAAAAATGGTGGTGAGAATCATATCATCAAGGTTCAGATGCAAAAACAAGTCGTTTTATCGAGTTATGGCCGCCAGTAGCAGATCTCCCAGAGATGGCAAGCACTTGGAAGTTTTGGGTTACTACACCCCATTACCAGGTACATCTGTTTCTCTTATTCTTTGTGTTTGGTTGCTTAGAAACGAAAAGAAAATAAAATTTTGGCTGCCAGTTGTGGGTTCTAGCAACCCATTTTCTTGGGTTCTATCACGGCCTTTTTTTTCCCTTTTATTATTTGTTTGGTTGCTGAGAAAATGTTGGAAAATAAGGGTAAATGTTTCAAAGTTAAGTTATTACTGTTTGGAAAAAAAAAGAATTTTTTCTTCTAATATTATTCATTGGATTTGTTGAGGGTATAACTATTTTGTCAAATTAAACTGCTTAAATTGTAAAAGTCTCAATGTATTGTTCTCTATTCTCATGTAATCAGTTCTAGAAGAAATGCTACAGAGGGTGTTTGATTTCTAACATTATTAAAATTGTCTTGAATGTGTTTGGTTTATACAGGTCAAGATTGTGGTAAAGGAATGGGTCTTAATTTTGACGGAGTGAAGGAAGTGATTTTGATGCTATTTCCTTTCCAACTTCAGCATTTATTTTCCAAATTATCAGTATATATTGGATTGAATGCTCTTATTGGTGTCCTTAGGACTTTAACCACAAGCTTTAGTATCTCTATAAAGAATTATACTTGAAATCCAACTATTTAGTTAATATAAAGTAAAACAAGTCCAAGTCTTGGCACCTCTATTGCAAATTATTTTGCTAACTCTCCAATGTACGAATTGTAAGAGAAAGAGGAACATTTTCCCCCCCTTTTAATAAGTCATAATATTATTACTGGATGATAAAGAGAATGGGAAACCTTATATCCAGTATGTTTGTGAAGATGCGGGAATGAACAGTGAGGATTTCTCATGAAAACATCAATTATACTGCAAATAAAGGTTCGTGGACGGGATAAATTGTTTAAAGGGTTTTTTGGTTTATCTCTTGTTTGTTTGTGAGATTGGTCATTGTCCACTAGATAGTTGGTCTGTCCTAAGTGAATTCCTCAAATCCCAGGATTGAAAAGGTTAGGAGATACCTCTCTCTCAGTATTAGAATCATCTGTTTTAATCTTCTACATCTTATTTAATTTTCTATCGCCTACATTTCTGTCCAACATTTCTGTCTACTACCCGTTTACTCTAATACCCAATTCAAGTAATTATATGGATTTTCAATTTTTAGGTCTGCCACCACTTCTGAATTATTTATTTGTTCTCTTCACAAGCTGCCTGTTTTTGAAATCCTTATCTTTGTTGAAATTGCAATCAGAACTTCACGATTTCCTTTTGCTGCTTAGAATTCTCAATGATGTCTGGGTTCCTTTTTCATGGATTCTGAAGTATGAGGTCTTATAGCCTCATGGTTTCTTCTTCTGTAATTTCGTATTCTTCTGTAGTTAGATTCTCAAGCTGGTTACTCCAGATATTACTTCTCTCTCCTTAAAGCTGTTTTGCCTTTCAAGGTGCATCCTTAATTCAAAGATTTGCTTGGAAATAAATCTTCATTTCTCAAATTGTGCTTTATCGGTACCATCTTGCCTTTTTTATCAAGGATTTTGTGGAAATGGTGCATAAACAATAACATGGAAACCCATTCTGCAAAGAGGATAAGTGTTTGAGGGAAACATGCATGTAGTGCTAACCAATTGGTTTAGTCCCAGTTATGGATGATCTGATAAAAAAACACGTTGAAATTTGTTGGCATAGATTTTATGGGGTAAAAATGGCTGGACACACGTCTTATTTCCATTTCTTGCATCTCTCATACGTCTACTTCTCATACTGGAAATTTTGTGGTCCGGAAGTTCAGCCTAATATTTCTTAGTATTCTAAATCATTTGTAAACTAAGCAACCTATGCTGTCAATTTTGTTTTTATTATTGTTATGATATGTGTGTGTGTGTAGAGCCCCGCCTCACCATCTACTTGGATCTGCAACTTTCCTTGGCAAGTTTGAACCAATTGTTCGAAACACAACAACTATCGATTGGTTCTCAGTGCACCGAAATTCTTGAACTTCAAGATGTTGTGGATCATTTTGGGAGAATTGGGTTGTGAAGGAATTTGATGATCGTTTTGGGAGAATTGGGTTGTGAAGGAAGAAATTTGATGATCGTTTGAGAGCAAAAAGTAACATTGGTCTATCGGTAGAGGAGTTGCAGAAGCCACGTTGGTCTTCCTTGTGGCTGTTAGGGTTTTCTCTTCACTAATCCAATAGTTTAGATTAAACCATGACTCGGGGCCATTGGATTTGTTTTGTTAAATAGACTTCAGGACTTTTCACTTTTCAATTGTGCCAATTAAAAGTGTATATATATATATATATACATATTTGGGTTAAGCTTGTATAGGAGTGAGTTTTACAATGAAGATGGGCATTGTTGTGCTTTACCATTTGACTATGTATTTTTTGAGCTTATTGTGTCCAGAGTTTTGTCCAACGATGCTTGATATGGTTTGAATTGTTAATTGATAGTATTCGTATGCAGTTCAAGTCTTGAAGAGTTGTTTAATGTTGTTTTTGCATGTAATTATGGTAAAGAAATTGTGTGGGGTAATAGGCTCTTCTTTCCGATGGTTGGGACCGTTTAATCGGTTGTGAAAACATTGAATGGTTTTGGATTACGAAGATTTAAGTTCTTGCAATAGAAATTTTATCAGGAATTGTGATATGACATATCTGTGTAGTGGCATTTTGTAGTCAATAGGAAACTTCATAAAAGTTCCAAGTGTTTATTTTATGCTTCCAGTGAAACTTCATGTTTGATTGATGTCACAGAAATGGTTGAGAGTATGAAGAAAGTTGCAAACCTTGATGTTGAGCTGACTGTGGAGGAGCAGAACCTTCTTTCTATTGGATTCAAGAATATTATAGCTGCCAGGAGAGCATCTTGGCATATTATTTCAATTGAGCACAAGGAAGGGTTACTGCCAGAAGGTAGAGGAGGAGCCCTCTTCCAGCTATGGAGAAGCCACTGTATTCTACTATAATATGTGAGTTATGTTGGCCTGGATAATCCAGTATTTTTCGTGCTTGTTTGATATGAGTTGCTCTATAGTCGTTTACTCCTTGTTTTTGGATGAATTACAACTCTTTTCTCGTATTATTATCCTCTTTTATCTTGTTGATTAAAATAAACTAACTCCAGATATAATATTGAATATATTTTTAAAAGATATCATACAAGAGAGTAGTTGTTTTCAGATCTGAGAAAAAAAAAGGTTGTTTTTCATGCGTCTATTATACAAGTGGGCAGTTCATTTGTTCCACGGTCTCACAGTCTCACTTGCAGGGTCCTAGTGAATTTTCTTTGTTTTTCGCACATCTTTTATATAAGTGGTGCACATGTAAGGAGGCAATGGACTCTACTTATGCTTTTGCCCTTCCCCAAAAAGGGAAGGGCAATGTGGTTCAGCAACTTCTTTTTTATTTATTTTTATTTTGTATATATATATATATATATATATATATATATATATTTCCCTTTTCTGCTCAAAGTTTATATTTTCTTGTGCTCTGGCTAATTTGAATTTAGGAGAGGTGACTACTACCGGTATCTTGCTGAATTTTAAGACTGATCAGGAAAGGAATGAGGCTGCTGAACGGTCACTGAAAGGCTATGAGGCATGTCCACATCTATTGACATGACTCTTTGACAACCTATACATAGAAATGCATGGTGAATTATTGCATTTTGACGTATACATAGAAATGCATGGTGAATTATTGCTTATTGACGTATACATAGAAATGTATGGTGAATTAATGCATATTGACTTTGCATTCGCTTGATGTATCGTCTTTCTGCTATTTCCTTGTTAGGCTGCTTCTGGTACTGCAAATACAGATCTCCCGTCAACACACCCAATCTGTTTTGGCCTAGCCCTCAACTTCTCCATCTTTTACTACGAGATAATTAATTCTCCTGAAAGGTAATTCTTATATTCCTGGCATCACCTTTTGAAAACTTTTGTATTATTCTCATCTTATTTTTGTTGCATAGATTGACGATTTATTTTGGTTACTAAATTTGCAGGGCCTGCCATTACAAGCTTTTGATGAGGCAATTGCAGAGTTAGACACAGTGAGTGAGGACTCATACAAGGACAACACCCTGAAAATGTAAGTGTTGAGGGACAACCTTACTCTTTGGACCTCTGAATTTTGAGTTTGGGGATATGGAATTGTGCCCCCAAACTAAAAAAACAAAATCTATTGTTCGGAAAAGCATTTCACAGTGTGTGTCTAAAATTTCAAATCTACTGTTTGGAAAGACTTCTTATACAATGCAAATTGAGATCTTTTACAAACAATTTGAGGGTCTTTCCAAATCAAATCTTGGTTTTCACTTAAAAATATATATATATCTGTACACACCCTAGTTTTTATTACTGTTTTGTTTAGTAAAATGCAAAACAGTAAATTGATGACGATAAGAAGAGAAAATGTGAGGTGCATGTTGATGCGAAGATATTGTGCTGTTGCAGTTGGTTATACCATTCTGCTTGTTGCTTGCCATAACCCTTGTAACAATGAGAAGAAGAATGGGGAAGAGCTTGAATTTCCTCCCAGTTTGCCAAGATATTTAACCGCTTTATAGGTGGTGCCAGGAGAGCATCTTAGTGTATTATGTCTTCAATTGAGCAGAAGGAAGAGTCAAAGGGAAATGAGAAAAACGTTAAGCTGATTAAGGGTTACTGCCAGAATGTAGAAGAGGAACCCTCTTCCAGCTCCGGAGAAGCCACTGTATTCTTCTATAATATGTGAGTTATGTTGGCCTGGATAATCCAGTATTTTTCGTGCTTGTTTGATTTGAGTTGCTCTGTAGCAGTTTACTCATTGTTTTTTGGATGAATTACAACTCTTTTCTCATGTTATTATCCTCTTGTATCTTGTTGATTAAAATAAATTAACTCCAGATATAATATTGAATATATTTTTAAAAGATATCATACAAGAGAGTAGTTGTTTTCAGATCTGAGAAAAAAAAGTTGTTTTTCATGCGTCTATTATACAAGCGGGCAGTTCATTTGTTCAAAGGTCTCACTTGCTTGGTCCTAGTGAATTTTCTTTGTTTTTCGTACATCTATAAGTGGTGCACATGTAAGGAGGCAATGGACTCTACTTATGCTTTTGCCCCTTCCCCAAAAAGGGTAGGGCAATGTGACTTAGCTACTTCTTTTTTATTTATTCTTATTTATATATATATATATTTCCCTTTTCTAGTCAAAGTTTATATTTTCTTGTGCTCTGGCTAATTTGAATTTAGGAGAGGTGACTACTACCGGTATCTTGCTGAATTTTAAGACTGATCAGGAAAGGAATGAGGCTGCTGAACAGTCACTGAAAGGCTATGAGGCATGTCCACATCTATTGACATGACTCTTTGACAACCTCTACACGAAATGCATGGTGAATTTGTGCATATTGACGTACATAGAAATGCATGGTGAATTAATGCATATTGACTTATAATGCATATTGACGTATAATGCATATTGATGTATACATAGAAATGTATGGTGAATTAATGCATATTGACTTTGTATTCGCTTGACGTATCCTCTTTTTGCTATTTTCTTGTTAGGCTGCTTCTGGTACTGCAAATACAGATCTCCCTTCAACAAACCCAATCCGTTTTGGCCTAGCTCTCAACTTCTCCATCTTTTACTACAGAGATAATTAATTCTCCTGAAAGGTAATTCTTATATTCCTGGCATCACCTTTTGAAAGCTTTTGTATTATTCTCATCTTATTTTTGTGACATAGATTGACAATTTATTTTGGTTACTAAACTTGCAGGGCCTGCCAAAGATTTGTTATACAATGAAATTGGGATCTTTAACAAACAATTTGAGGGCCATTCCAAATCTAATCTTGGTTTTCACTAAAAAAATTAAAATAAAAACGTGTAGTTATTGGTACTGTTTTGTTTCGTAAAATGCAAAATAGTAAATTGATGAAGAATGGTCTGATAAGAAGAGAAAATGTGAGGTGCATGTTGATGCGAAGATATTGTGCTGTTGCAGTTGGTTCTACCATTCTGCTTGTTGCTTACCATAACCCTTGTAACAATGAGAAGAAAAATGGGGAAGAGCTTGAATTTCCTCCCAGTTTGCCAAGATATTTAATCGCTTTATGTTCCTTTCAGCTTCTTTTAATTTTTAATTTTTTTATAGAAGCATGTTTGAGTTATGAAAGTTAATATCGGATGTCTATGTTCTGGTGCAGGTGATGACAGCTTTAAAGGTGAAGAAGCCAAAGCTGCAGGACCAGAGGTTAGAGTTTCATTTGATTTTTTGAGTGTTACCCCAACTCTTCAATCAAATACTGATTGGAGCTTCTTTTTCTTTTTCTTTTTGTATAAATCTAAAAAATAAATTGTTTTGCAGCATTAATGGAGTAACCAAGAGCATCACATGAGGCAGTTGAAAACAGAATACTATGCAAAGTCGCTTTTTTCAGTTTTTTTTCTCGCGAAGGGAAGCATGGGACAGTGTAAAAGGCATCTTACAATCCTTTTGTGCCATTGAAAAGCCAGAAAATGACTAGAATTCTAGGGCTGACCTGCCACATTTTTGTTTCTAAGTTGTTTCCTTTGTGGACCTTGCCTTTGCTTCTGCTACTTCATGTTCTCCATAGTGAATTTCTTATCCAATCGGGAAAAATATATTTTCAATTTTCTCAGCTTTCAAAGTATAATTGCAGGGAAAATATATTTTCAATTTTCGCAGCTTTAAAGTGTGATTGCTCTTTTTTCTTTCTAAATTTTCCCCTTTTGATATAGTATCTCCAGTCGTGGTTCAAAGCTTTGGTATAACCTTTCTTTTGTAGAGGAAAAATAACACTATTTGGACTAAAAGCTTCTGTTGTTGATATCAATAACTTGTTGAATTTTGTATTATCTGGATTTTCAATTATTGAGCTAAGGAAATCTCGTCACCTATATAAATCTACTAGTTGTACTCTTTTTATGCCATTTGGGCACTTGGTAGGCTTTTTCTAGGGAAAAAAGGATACAATATTCTGGGTACTTACACGTGATACTTACAAATGCTCCCATTTGGCATGCAGCAGGTGATGATTTGTTGCTACTTTATATTTAAATTAAATTAAATTATATTAGTGTGTGTATATATATATATATATATATATATTTAAAATGTACTTTTATCGTTTTTTTAATTCTTTTATTCTAAGACCTATGGCTGATAAATAATGGCTAATATGTACATCAAAGAAAGGAATGGGAATGGGAATGGTGTTTAGTGGAGCTAGCAGGACAATGGTGTTTAGTGGACATTCTAATAATAGCTTTCAGTGGCAATTAATTGACTCAAAACCTTTTTTTTTTGGTCAAAATTTTGAACTGGCAACAGCATCTCTGTTATGTAATTAAGGATATACATTAGTGTTTTTTTTTTTTTTTTTTTTTTTAAAGTATTTATTTATTTATTTAATTATTTTCCTTTTGTGACAAATCAAACAGAGAATAGAGTACTTTGTTCTACAATATGTCATGCCTCAAAAATACCATAGATGGAGTTGTGATGGGGATGATTATCCATACTTGGGCTCTCCTGCCTTGAAATGGGAGGATTTCACTAGAATTGGATTTGGAAAAAGATTTTACATGTTTGGGATCTTAAAAGAGTTGGGAGTTGGGGGTAATTAGATAACTAATTACTTAAATTACTAAAATACTCTTTTACAAAGTTTTCACATTACTCATCCTACAAAGTAGGAGTGGGCAAACAATCCGTGAATCCGATCTACAGATCGGATCGGATTGCTACACCTACGGATCGGTAACGGATTCAAAAAAATCGAATCCGTAACTCATGGATCGCGAATTACGAATTAAGCTGTTAAAAATCCGATTCGATCAATGAGTCAGATATGATCCGTGAGATTTATATATATTATTCAAATGATATATTAAGTAATTTAATTAATTAAGGATGTATGTAATGGACTCTAAGGATGTATTAGCTAATGGTCATTTAAATGTATGAATTAATGATGATATGTAATGGACTCTAAGGATGTATTAGCTAATGGTCATTTAAATGTATGAATTAATGATGATAAATTGAAATTTTATATGGTTAAAAAATAATTAATATGAAATATTTAGGAAAAAATCCCAATTCAAACTCAATCTGATTGGTGGCGGATTCAAAATTTTCCAATCTGTGAGGTCGAATTAGGATTGATAACTAATCCAATCTGTGACCACCCCTGCTACAAATTTATTTCCCACCTTTCACTGTCTCATCCTACAAATTTATTTCCCGCCTTTCACTGTCTTATCCTATCAATATACAAAATTTATTTCCAAATTACAGCTTATTTCAAACCTAAAATAAAATACTAATTTAATTACAATTCAATTCCTTTTCCAATTCTGTCTTGGTGCATCAGTCATTCACCCAGGTCTCAGAGGATGTGCTGAAGTAAGCATAATTTGGATTACCTTTTGCAATTTATGAAAGATTAAAAAAAAATGAATCAGAAGGCCATTCTTTATATGCAAAACCCACATGACATAAAAAAAAAAAAAAAAAAATTTACTTTTGGAATCTGACTGACCATGATAAGAGAGACAGCTAGTTGTTGAAGATTTTATCCAAGATAAAAATGGCAAAGAATAAATTAATGAAATACAGCTAGTCAAAGGTTTACATGGCAAGTGTGTGATTTTGCCCAACGGGTAGACAGTAACATGTTAGAGCATTATAGAGATTTGGAGTGTAATGATTTAAAGATTAGGTAATAGATGAGCTACTTGAAGTGGTTGAACCACATAAGGTGGTTGAGCTACATGAGGTGGTTCAGGAAGAACCGCAGAAAGGTTGTGTTGTGCCATTGAAGTAATTTAATGATTTAGAATATGTAAGAGTTTTCCTTTCACGAGCTCTTAATTTCCTAAGGGAAGACTCAATTTCTTTGTCTAGAGGAACGAGAGGATTTGAAAAGATCTTCTTCCAAGCATACACAACAAGCACACAACAACAACTTCACCACCAAAACATCCACATACATTGATTCTGTTCTCCTCAATTCAACAATGTTAAATTTAAAATGGCCTCGTCAAGGACCTATACTTGAACAAGAATTTAAAGCAATTGATAGCCTCAACAAGGACTATCCCACAATCAAGCTAAGAGAAATGCACAACAAGAGTTCAAGACACGCTCACAAAAGGTCCCAAGCGCAATGCCGTGATCCCAAAGCTTATTTTCTTTCAATCAAATACCTAATTGCACATAGAAACAATAATAAGAAAATGGTAGGAAATGAATCCTACTAGCAATCAAATGAACACTAATATTAAATTCAATTTCAATAGAACCGTCAATCCCTAACAACGGCGCCAAAAACTTGATGCGACCCGAGTGTGTCAATCAAAATAGATGTTTATATATGGCAAATGGGACATCAACTTTTATATTTATAAAACTACTAAACAGCTATAAGTTAGTATAGTGAGAAGGGATCGTCCATTGGGATTATTGGCTTGGAATTTAACTTAACATCAATGAGCGTGAGATTGAAAAGATAGTGATTGGTTTGATTATACTAATGATGATTTTTCTATATAGATCACGTAAATGAAATAAAGCTAAAGTAAACTTGGATTAAGGTAATAAGGAGAGAGACTTAAGGCATGGATTACACCACTAAACTAATGCAATTATACCAAATGCCTTAAATTAATGGGGAAAACACATTGTAACAGAAATATGGCTACAAATACACATCAATATTCAAGAAGATAATACAAATTGCAATGAATAAGCATGAATTATCAAAATCAAGAATGAATTGTTTACTTAATTACAATTACTCTAAGGTGTAGCACAACCCATCAAAATTAAGCATAATTCATCAAACTAAAAGTAATTGTATCCAATAGAAACCATGCATGGCCATCACTAAGCACAATTACAAATAGTACTCAATGTAGAGATTAACCCTCAATTAATCACACATAAGACAACATGTAATCAAAATAGAGAATTAGTTGGAAGAATTAACAATATAAATCTTGGTACAACCAAGTTTGAATTCATAAGACCAATTACTAATTACAATTCATAATCCCCAAAATTGAAAGACAAAAGATTTAATTACACAAGCTTAGGGCTCATTCAAGCCTTAAGTGAAGAACTAGCCATTCATGGAGAAGGTAGATGTCATCATGGCGGTCTCATAATCCATCTCCAAACTTGGGTTCATCATCATCTTCTTTTTCTTCTTCTTCTTCTTCCTTGAGAGAAACCCTTGAGAAAGAGAGTCGATTTATAATTCTCTTTAGCCTCTAAAATTCCCAATGTCTAAACCTTTTGCAAAATGGGCTTAATCTTCTATTTATAGGTGACTCTTATGATTCCAAAATGGTTAGACCACGTACACAAGGAAACCTCCTTGATTGCACCTCGAGCCCCCTTTAATCAAGGCTTAAATTCTAATTTTTCACAGCTGTCAGGCCCGCTCGATCGATTGAAGCCTTGGCTCAATCGATCGAGGTTGTTGAATGTTAAATACAAAAGAGAGGACTCTGTATTGTATATTGATATTGATGTATGAGATGTGTATTGAAATGTATACAAGAGGGGTTTATATAGGAGGAGTTATGTGTGATGAACAAGTAAACCCTATATGTATATGGTAAGTATATATGTTGTAATCCTATACACTGTTAGAATCATATATATGGTAATCCTATATAAGGTTAGAATATATTATACAATATAGTAATAATATATTCTACAATATATTCTAACAGCCCCTCAAAATCAAGGTGGATTGAATGAAACCATCTTGAGTTTAGAAATGAGATCTTAAAAGTGGTATGGCGGAAGCGATTTGGTGAAAACATCAGCAATCTGATCATGTGAAGTGATGGACTGCAATTGTAAGGTCTTCTGAAGAAGATGATGACATGGCAGTGCTGACCTGACAGGATGATGTGGCCTGACATGTGGCGCGACGTGGCAGTGTTGGGGCGGTGATGCTGACATGGCAGGATGATATGGCCTGACACGTGGCGCGGCGTGGATCTGACGCGACTTGACACGTGGTACGGCGTGGATCTGATGCGGCTGTGCTGACCTAATACATTGAGGTGTGGGATTACCGTTGGTGCCCGTGAAGGCGCATGAAAGAGTGGGATTACCACTTGAGGCGCATGGTGGCGCGGTTTGGAGTGCGGAAGCGTGAGTTTACAAGTATGATTTGCTGGTTGACCGCCACCGCCGGGGATGGGGCTATTGGTGTCATCCCCAGCGGTGACTACGATAAACTAGTAGATAGTTTACTAAAGATAGAAAGCCTCTGATACCATGTTAAAAACAAAAGAGAGAACTTTGTATTATAGTTATCATCAGGGATGACAACCTCAACCTATTCACGCTCTGCACCTACCTCCAAGATCTTCACAGATCCACCTTACGTCACCTGACATGTCAGCATTGGTGCAACATTAGACATATTCTGCAACGGTGCCAATAGTTGTGCCACGTCAGTTGCCACACAACAGAGGTGCCAACAGTAGTGCCAAGTTACCTGTCACTTCAGTTGCAATGTCATCAACTACGTTACTATCGGTGTCACGTCAGCTACATCAGGGTGAAAGAATTGTTTTCAAACTCAAAATGGCTTCATATAACCCACCTTAACTTTGAGGGGGGCTGTTAGAATATATTTTATAATATATTATTACCATGT